CCGCGCCAAACACAGCCGCGCTGACAAACTCCATATCCGCAGCGAACGAGATTATAGATATATTTGGATGAAAGTGCTTGAATTGACTAACCTCAACTGACTAGCGACAGAAACTTTGATTATGGTTACCTGCACGTGAGTGAAAGCGAAAGATCCAGTTATGGAAAGCGTGAAGTAAAATGACAAAACGACAAGATATACACCGGACAATTTGAAGAATAAACCAGTTTTTGATCTAAAAAAGCAGATGGACATCATGTTATCGAGTAAAACCGAACCACATTCACCTCATTGGAGTAATTATGGCTGGAATACTATGATGGCACATAAAGGCATACACTGCAACACCAAACAGTGAACCAAATCCATGAATATTAGCAGCTGGAGGTGTTGTCGCAGGACCGTTGGTAATAATTTGTGCTGCAGCCAAGCATATCATCAAGATGAAAGCTGAAAAATTGTTCTCTTTGGAATAGAATGGGATAAAAAGAACGCTTCCGCAGCAGAGGGCACGGAAAATGGTTATACATATTGCAAGTATTGTTGTGATCCCTGCGAATGACAGGGCGTGGATTGGAGCGCTGCTAAGGCAACCTTGCTCCCAATGATCACATCGTGAGCCTGCAACAGTGGGCGAGAAAGGCTGTTCTGGCTGCGCTCCAACTCATTCTCCCTTCACACGGCCTCATAGTTTGCACGGAATAACGGACTGTAAGTAAACGGCGGGTACCTTCCCCCCAACCGCTACACGTGAGATAATATACGTAAGAATACGGATTTGTCCCTATGCGAGTAACATTGTACATTAGGCGATCAGGAGGCTCGTCCTAATGTTAATAAAACTTTCTTAAAAATGCCACCCTCCCACAAGTACTGGGGGAAGGTCTTTGGGCAACTACCAGGAATAGTAAAATTGCTGCGCCGCCTACTAGTAATGTAACGCCTCGGTTGCTGCGATCTTGTGACGTGCCACAGGGCTGGGCTTGGCGCAGGCGCCAGTCCGTTCTCCATCAATTGCTAGCACTTGTCTCCGCTTCAACGATTGGTGGAGTACTGGTTGGAGCTGCGCCAACCACCTTCCCTGAGACGCCTCAGCATCCACAGCGAAGAAGACTACGTAAAACAGGAAAAGCAATAGACGCAAAATTTTCTGCCAAGTCATACACGACTCGGTCCGTTCCCCTTACCCTCGGGAACCCCAGAATACGGCGTGTTTATTAACACTTCTTGAAATATGAAAAAAAAACATAACTTACCAGTCCACCTGCATATTGATGTGGCTAGCTGCAAGTATTTCGTTTTTGTTATGCCAATGATGACCATCGGTGTGCAGACCATAACAAAGAGTAGTACACAAAATCGATATACTGAAAAAAAATATTATGTAGTATGCGCCTAGGCTTAATATCTGGTACAGAACATGCTGATCCTTGATTTTTTTTGTCAACTCTTTCCTGTCATTCGTTTGTCAACCCCAGCTCACTGATAAGACCAGTGACGAAACAACACCAGACGCTTAGGGACGGGACATACCCTTTGCGTTTTATGGTAGTTTTTTATATGCCTTTTTTTCTTTCCTTTCTAGGTCCCCGTATCGGGCGCACAAGATGCACCTGGGGTAGCATGAATAATCTGCCGATAACAAGGGGTCATTTTATGCGCCCTTGGCTGACGAATGCGTGAGAGCGACGGCCGCCATAAAAATTCGCGCAGAATATGGGACTGTAAAAAAAACAGCGAAAAGATTTCAGGGTGCAGATCGATCTGGAGAGAGCACCAAATGTCACTCAGCGATGTACAGACCATTTTGTGAGGACCTGTAAATTCCTGTAAACTAAAGGGGCTCACTTGTACACCACTGCATCTTCATAAGAGTTTACTTGGCACATCAAAGTTAGAACTATTACTTAAACGCGGAGGGCAGAATCGCTGGGGCGGGCGGTTGTTGTCAGCATCATTGGTGGAAGGGCAGCGAGAGGGCGTTTGGCTTTATCCCATTCAGCCCTTCAATCAATGACATTGGCGACAACAGCCTGCCCCCAGCGATCGTGCCCACTGCCTTTAACATGAACTAGCAACATTCGGCGAAAAAGCAGAATTCCCTTCGACTTCGTACCTGTAAAACGATGTAACCAATGGGGCCAGCTTTCTCGACATGGATCCGTAGGCATTACATGAGAAACATTTATAGGAGCACTAAAATTAAACTTGACAAAGAGAAAGGGGCGTGTAGATACAAAATTGACGACCTCTTACCATATGACATTCATTAGAGATTTGGGAACTGTCGTCGTGTATATAGTGAGATCACCAAAGAGGTAGATACATAGTGATAAATAGCAGAATATTACTCCTATCCGGCCAACAAACATTGACGCCATTTTACCCTATAGGCGAATTTGTAAAACAATTGGATTTTGTACCTTAATCATAGTATAACAATACTTACAACTTCAACTTTCTCGACGATTTCGAACGAAGACGGACCACATTTCCGTGATAACCACATCTGCAAAGCGTTCTCTTGAGGCCGAACTAGGGAGCTACGAAGTCTTACTACGATCTTAAAGACACAATCAGCATCTGTAAGTTATCATTTGTGGATGCTGAATGACTCAGCAGTGCAGGAAAAAGAAGAACTTGACGAAAACACGCTCAAATTTTCTGGCTGATTCTGAACATTAGGCAAGCATACCGTTGGTGAGAGACGCAGAGATGCTCACCACGCGAACTAAAGATCGGGCAATTGCGTTCGAGAGATCAAACAATCGGACAAGCAATTAATATGGACATCTATATAAAATGGGTGGAGCCAGACTGAAAAACGCAGGGCCGCAGCTAAGTCACAAGGCCTCTGGCGTTTTCACCAAGCTTTTTCGGGTGGTGTAGTGGTTCATACATTAGACTTTACACCTTCCTTATCGTAAACAGGAAGGGATTTCACCTACCAAGTTACAGGAAAGTATCTTTGAGAGAGAAGGAAGCAGAATCTTTCATGGACATTGGCTCTCTGAAAGATGGTGTGCCAGCGCCTGAACTACTGTACAGTTGTGTTGCCTTAGCACGATGGGTCCTGGGTCCTGAGCTTGGCGCGGCGCCAGCTTGTTACCCCCAGTTGTGGTCGTATGTTTGCATTCATGACTGGTGTAGAACAGACTGGCGCCGCGCCAAACTTTACCTCCCCCTAGAAGGCCCCAGGGTTCGCAGCGACCAAAACTGTAACTCATATTAGTTCCCGATCGACGCACTCAGTTCTGAATGCATGGTGAAAACAATGTGAATTCCTAAATGACAGCATCCATCATGAAAGATTTTTATTATATGGTTGGGACGTTATCGCAACCATAATAATGATTAATAATAGAGATATTACAAAATGTCCTACAGTAATGTGTTTTCGCTGGCACTTAACACCAAGGAATTATCTCTTACGGGAGGTGTACTCCGGTTTTGAGTTCTTTCCCAAAATCAGAGGCACATTACCCGATTATAGATTGCGGACAACAGGTTCGAATATGAATAATTAGGAGCTAAATAATTCAACAGTGATAGGGAAAGAAAAACTGTGAAGCGTCCTCAGTAGGATCTCTTTCATGTCGGACATTGTAGAAGTGTGCGAAGGAAAGAGATGGCGTGTGAGGGAGAGAGACCAGCCAAAGGAGCGGCTAATGCCGTTTGGACTCCAGAAATTTCGTCTTCGAGCTCATTTTAAAAGTGGCAAGATCACCAAATCCGCTAAAAACTTGTATATAGGGGTAATTCAACATCCTGATCACGAATATGACATTCATTTTTGGCGCTGGCGCTAATGGATGACACTACGGTTACCTGCGCTCTGCTAAGGCTGAGCCCAGGAGGTAATCGTAGTGTCCTCTCTTGGCGCCAGCGCCAAGAATGAGTGTCATACTCGTAATCAGGATGTTGAATTACCCCTATATACAAGTTTTTAGTGACTTAGGCAATTTGAAAATGAGCTCGAAGACGAAATTTCTGGAGTCCAAACGGCATTAGCCTGGTAGGTGTAACATTATCCAAAAACGCCATTTTGCGTACTGGTGGACGGGACTCGCAAATGTTGAGAAGGTTTCAGCGAAAACTATAAGAGTTATACACTCTTATGCGCTTGGCGATACCGGGTGTGCGCCAGGACTCACCGCCGCGCTCGAAACTAGGTCGCCGCGCTGGGAAGTGGGTCACCGCGCGGCGATTACATGCTTTAACATGTTTGCATGTTTGAACATGTCTACCTGTTTGGACATGTTCTTGGCAGATGGAAGATGAGGAAAAGAGAGAACGCTCCAAGCAAACTGCGATAGGGTCATATTGATCGGAAGTTGGCAAAATGCCAGGTCAGGACTCACCGCCGCGCCGCGCGCGGTGACCTAGTTCCGAGCGCGGCGGTGACTCCTGCCCGTCTCCCTTCGATACCTAATCACTTACCACTTTACCCCTAAGTGATTAAGTGCAGCCGCGCAATTCTCATTTTTGAACCCGGGGCGTGCCTTTACACCAGTTTCGGAAATTCCTGAGCAGATGTGTGGTTAGGCCAAGTAATGCTGCCTAAACTGGATAGGTCCTCTTGATACTACGAAAATCGATCTGTTATCCCTCTTTAACAGGAATTTTTTACAAAATCGACTTGAGGTGTGGGTTTACTTTGATAGTGCGATATCATGAAACCTGTGGGGTTTTCGAAAGGGTCGCAATATGTATCGATCCAGTATCCAGTATCGAGTAATTCGAAGAGTTCGAATTTTAGTAATACTGCAGCATCTCCGAGCTTCCTCATCGGTACGAACTGATGGCGGGTTCCTCTCGTGGACTCCATGGATTTCGAAATCCTTCGATTCCCTTATTCTTCCAAACGGATCATGTGTACATTCTATTTCGCTGCGGACGGTTGGGCGTGTCAGCCAGTATGAGTGTGCACAGCGTCAAGGCCGTTCTCTGCCTTCTTGTTGAAGCGCGCATGCGACAAAAAGTGGTAGAAAACGAGTAATACGAACGATATGATACAGTCATATCATTTGTTCGCTTTAAAACTGGTAGGAGAACGGGTTTGGCACCGCGCCAAACGCAGCCGCACTGACACGCAACCGTCCGCAGCCGTCCGGCGTGGCTGCATATTTCCTCACAACGTTGTGGCGGCTGCTCTTCTGGTGGGATGTTCTAGTTTGAGCCGATTAGAGTCACGCCTTGGTCGTGAAAAAGATAGGATGTTTAAACGAAAATATCCCACGAAACCGCATCCTTCGCCATGTTCACGTAAAGAATGCAGCCCCTCCCCCCTTCCATCTTCCAGATGGAGTGTGTGGAGATGGTTGTGACCCGAATGACCATAGAATGGACACATGGCCAATGTGCTTGCTGTTTTAGAATTTTCATGTCGCGTCACAGCATCGTACCATTTACTTCATACATTTAGATGAAGAAGACTTCTTTAAGCGTCCGACGGAAACCTAAGAAAGTAGAAAAGCCCCTAGTCATTCCACGAGAAGAAGATGGGCCGGTAAGTTGACTAGTTTTGTGGGATTGTGGGAATAGTGTCAAGGCTCCTTCCAAACACTTCTAGCTGTTCGAATTAACGCTTCTTTCCCGATTTGCTTTCCTTTCTAGCAGACGATTAGTGTCTGTTGGCTTCTCAAGATGAAATCCATTCCAGTAGAGAACTTTAGTTCAGTTTGCATGATTCGTATCGCATCCAAATCTTCCATTCGGGCCCATAATTTTCGTTTTCATGCCCATCTAGTATGAAGTAAGGAGAAAGCGTTCATACTTTGCGTCACCTTTTGAGTGACTAGGAAGATCCAGCGTCTTTAGCGTACGCTAGATCTCTGCCTATATTTCCTAGTCGCTAAAACGTTGGTGTACGCTGGCTGTACGAGCTTGAAGCTGAATCTCAAGCTGAATCCTTGTCTTCTAGGCGTTTTTTGTGTAATGCATTCTGTACTTAAACTTGTCACTGGATTTTCGTGTAAATTCCCGGGTTTTCTCAAACCAAGATGCTCATTAGTGCTTACAATTCTTGAACACGTACTGTTTGACTTTCAGGCCAGTCCGACCCCCACTAAAGAGGAAAAGAAAATAGTGGAACCCCGAAAGATACCACTCGAGCGCACTTTACAAGAACCGGTAAGTCAAGCAGGTTTCTTGTTCTTTCAGTTGCTCACCTCATTAGGTGGTCGCGATATTCTGACACAGTTTCATGAAATCACCCTAGAGGCACGTATAGCCTCTCGTCAAGGGTAGGGCAAGTTTTGGCACCAGGATATCGGGGGACCCTTCGCCAGTGTGTCGGTATCCTTGCCCCTTGATGAAGTCGTAGGCCTAATGGAGACTATGCCTTTTATGCGAGACTATCCCTCGGCGACTCCGGTCATCTGCGCTTTGAACCTGCTTTTTTTTCTTAAGAAATACAGGAGTGCGGCCAAATGGTCCCTTCTCCGAACAGTGCCCATCTTCGTCACCTTTTCATGAGACCATACCTTTCGGTTAGTTGCGTTGTCGTTAATCGATACTGTTATTTTCCTAGAGCGGATGTTGCGATACAGAACAGCTGGGTGTCTGCTCCTTTATCACACCTTTTCAAACTGTTCTATTTTCCGCCTTATCCCCTCAATCTTTCTGTGGTTCTCGTGTTACGAAATGAATCCGGCCTTCGCGGTAAAGATAATATTGAGAAAAGTAAAGGATCCGTCCATTCTAGAGGTGCTGCTCTGCGTGCGGTGAGGCTGATATGTGTTTCGTGATTTGGTGCTAGCTGATTTCTTTCGATTGGTGTGACAAAGCGGGTAGACATGAATTTCGTGTTCATGTCTACTTGCTTTTTTACGCTCGGTTGAGAGTTTTATACCCATGAGGATCCGTAAATCTTTTGTAGACTATTCGCTTGAGGATGGTAGCCTTTTTTAGTTCGCTAATTTTTTAACTGTTCCTATTGAACGTTGTGAATCACCTTGGTGATATCTGTCGACACTTTTCAAATGTGAACGAAGCTCGTACTCTCCTCATCATTACGGACTGTCGGGGCGGGTCAGTGCGGCTGCGTTTTCCGCGGTGCCAAAGTCGTTCTGCACCAGTTGTTGAAGCGGGCAAGTGACATTACTGTATTATATCCTTCGTATTACTCGTTTTCTACCACTTTTTGTCGCATACGCGTTTCAACAAAAAGGCTGAGAACGGCTTCAAACAGTGTGCGCACTCCTACTGGCTGATACGCCCCGACAGTCCGTAATGATGAGGAGAGTACCAATGTTTAGCTTCACAAAATTAACAGGTCTTCACAGAAGGCATTGGCAATGATCGATGGGAACCAGCCACATATCCCCACAAGCCAGACTACGCGCTTTTTTTGCTTGGAACTATTACTCATTATGATAGCTAGATGTCGACCTCCATGAAAACCTTATTCTGACTCCTTCTGCAGAATCTTTTGGTCTCGAATCACTGCAATTGCGGAATTCATCCTTATTGAACTCTGCTAATTAACATTCTTCACAGAAGGCATTG